CTTCACGGGAAACGGAACGACGTCGGCGTTAAGTTTACTATGTAGTTTACGTGATGCACGGGAATACATCGGTCGTGCAAAAACACGCGACGTAAGAAAAAAAGAAAAATAATACAAATGCGCGAGATGTGTTATAGTCTATCTCCTCTTGTCGAGGAGAGTTCCGCGCACGATAGAGTCCTACGTAAGCTGACTACGTAGTTTCATTTATGAAGACGTTTGTGATATATGCGGGAAAGAAAAAGAGTCCGTGCTCCCTGAAAATTTCACGCGGGGTAGTCGCGTCTTCTCGATCGCGCCCGGAGATTTATCGGGCAAATCGAAGTGGAATAAGCGACAACGCGCAATGATTTGCGCTACGTCACCGGGCGCATTAATATACTTTGCCGTACGTTCGACCGCCTGACTTTGTCCGGGCCGCATACACGGAGAAGTGAAGGTGCACAGGTAGGTGGAATGGCTCGCTCGCGCGCTCTCACGCTCGGTGCACCTGCATCGGTCGAATTAATGCGCTCGAGTATACGCGGCCTCTGCACGTGGAGAGCGTGACACCGACTTTAATCTCGTTACGCAGATGGTGCGCGCACGTGAAAGCAGCCGCGCGCTCACGCGAATCGGCGTGAAGCGTCACCGCGAATTTTATAAGACATTAATTGCCCCGGCTAGCCGCGGCAATTTATGACTAGCGTCAATTAGAAGAATTTGTAGGAGCTCTTTAATTAGCGTGCAATTCACTCGGCCCCGCTGACTTCCCCCTTTGATCTGCTGCACGAAAATATTTTTTCTTTCTATTTCTTATTTATGTGCGGAAGTCTATCTCTGCTGTGTGACACATAGTTTGATACTTCGAGAACTAGGGTGACCGCTGTCAAATCAACTCATATATTCGCGCAGACCCAAGGGAGAATTCGTGATGGACTTTTGTTGTATGAAGAGCCATTTCTGAAGATGTTGGTCGTGAAGAAACAAACATAATTTATTCACGACCAAGAAATTATATGAGGGAGAGGCGAAATCGAGGAACGCGGACGGATCTTCGGGAAACCTAATGGCCACGTGTGTAAGCCATCACTTTTACTAAAGTGAAATTTGATAGGGCATATAAGGAGCAAGCACGGATGTCTTAGTGCTTATTAAATACTAATATTACTTTTTTAATATTAATAATAATAATTTTAATATTAATAATAATAATATTAATAATTAATAATATAATAATAATATTAATAATTAATATTATAATAATAATAATTTATAATATAATAATTTATAATAATTTATAATATATTAATAATTTGATCCTTCCACAATCAAATTACACATCACATTTTAATATTAAAAAAGTAATATTAGTATTTAACAGCACTAAGACATCCGTGCTTGCTCCTTATGTGCCGTATCAAATCTCACTTTAGTTAATCTATACAAGGAGCTTTCTATTATTTCGGTCCATCACTTCGTTATTGAGTTATTCGCCCGTACGGCGATTCGTCCGTGTACATGTAATCATAATGAGTCCTTTCGCCTGTTGAAATGCGTACAATACGACCGATCAGTTTTGGGAAGTATAAACGCGCGCCGAACTCTGCACCTGTCGTCGCACAGTGGGGACAAATTGAAATAAAAATAGAAATTTATTGCTCAAAAATCACTAAAGATCACAATTTTATAACAATCGGGATGATTTTTTTTTTTTAAATTAAATCAGTATTTAAGTTAATCAATATAGAGAAAAAAACTGTCGGGCCCGATTTTTTTTTAAATTCTTCTAAACGTTGCAATATTAACAAGAATTAAGTTTGTACTCAGCAACCTAAATCTAATATACCTTACAGTGACACATTTCGTGCTACAGAAACATTTTTTTCATATCGGCTATAGGATTGACATACAGCTATTAAATACCAGATTTTAATACTGACTTTACATTTATGTTGAACGACTTTGTATACTCCATTGCAACATATATACTGTGTTAAAACATAATGATTTTGTTTATGTTGACAGGAAATTAGCAGTTGTCAACTGCCAAATTCTGATTTTTATATCAGATTCGTAATCAGCGATGCTGAAAATCTTAGTACACTGTACTGTGCAGCGAAAAGATGGAAAGTTTTCCAATTGGAGTGGCTCACAAAACTTGATAATTTTTTACAAATAGCTTTGCACCGCTGGGACTATGCACATAGTAACTTGATAATTTTTTACAAATTCTTATTAATATTACAACATTTAGAAGAATTTAAAAAAAAATCGGGTTTGACAGTTTTTTTCTATATTGATTAATGTTTAATTAAAAAAACTAATTCATCCTGATTGCTATAAAATTGTGGTCTCTAGCGATTTTTGAACAATAAATTTCTATTTGTCCCCACTGTACGTCGTTTCGCCACTTGTCGCAACTTCACGAGATCGATCGCGCTATTTCTATAACTTCCATGAATCTCTCTTATATGCGTCCCGCGCTCGCCTCTCCGAATAATCCAACTTTACCATCAGTCGCGTTGACGCAATGTCTAAATTGGCTTAATCGCGCGAGCCGTAAACCTGCAGAACGCGTTCTGCAAAGCCTTCGCGTTTCTCGACGAATTGCACGACGGCGAATAGCAGCGATGCAGTTAGAGGCCGAATCAACTGCAATAAAGTGCTATTTTCGTATACCTATAGAAAATTACGGGAATTTCGGCGGTCGCGCTAGCTTGCGATACAGATGGGTGGAACGAACAGTAGGAGGCGACGGAAATCCAGAGAAAAAATATACTTACTGTGTTATTCCAGCCGTTTTTATTTGACAGCATCGAAATCCCGGGAATTAGATTCGCCTGGAACGACCGCTTTTTCTCTTATTTTCTTTCTTCTTTTTTTGTGAAACTGGTCATACATCACAGCTGCACCAAGTTTCCATCTCGAGACTGCAATTCAGCGGCCGATTTCAGTCGCGCGACAAACCTCAATCCATTCCAGGCAGACGTGTTTCAGCGATATGGAACATAGTATATTGTTCGATCAAATTTTAACAGCTCTCTGTCTACCTGTGAAGTGAAGTACTCAGTTGAGGCGTAAAGGCACAAAACAAATATGAAACTCAAAAGTGGTAACCTAATATCTTTAAAACCGTACACCAGGAAAATTGGCACTTGTTCTCGTGTTACTGTATGGCGATTTCGCGCGTTTTTCACCATCGCCATCCGTTAAATTCGCGAACGTGAACGTCATTTAATCACAGCGAGATTGGAGTCGAATTGTAGTATGAGGTTAGTATGAATTGTAAGGCGCACGCATGAAATGGATTCTAGTTAAATTCAAATTTATGGAAACTGCCAATAAACACTCGGCGATTATGCGTGCAACAATCGCGCATACAGATAAGGACCGATTGATATTGGTCCGAAATATTAAACAGTCCCTCATATCGCACGAACCTGCCTCCAGACTGTTATTTATTAGCGTTATTAAGTACTTTGCTGCGAGGTAAATATGGTGATATACACCATATGTTTTAATCCTAACGAGAGTTAAGGCAGGATACCACCTTTGATTGCAATTTTGGAGACGTTTTTCATGATTTTTTTTTTCATACAAAAAATGCGCAGAAAGAAAATCGGTTTTAGCCATTCATTAAGACAATCTTAAGCTGCAATAAAAAATTTTTTAATGTCGAAAAAGTAAAAAATAACCTCTTGTAGGTGGGGCCAAAGTATACGGCTTTTGAGGAACACCGTCAGTCTGCGTGTCAAATTCCTTCTTCTACGTGGCTCATAGAACAAAAATCTAAATTTTTTCTTATTAATAACAATATGTTTTAAGTCTGTACGTAGGGATTTTACGAAATTTCGATTTTTAAGAAAATGGCGGTCATAAAAAAAAAATTCAATTTTTCAGGGTAAAAAAAGTTTATAAAACTGTGCACCAAGTGCACAGAGTACTTTAAACCAAAAAAAAAATTTTCGATTTTTTGAAAGTACAAAGGTGGTATCCTGCCTTAATAATCATCTTGGAACGACTCTGGAACTGGAAGGATTTTGGAACTGGAAGGATCTTGGAACTGGAAGGATTTTGATGAATTTCCTTTCCTTCGTTCCTCTTTAGAAAAAAAGAGATGAAGAAAGAAGGTGTTTAGAATTAGCCACGACTATGGGACGACTCGTCACGCTTGCCCACATTGTCAGTAAATTTCCATTAGAAAAATTATTTAATTTAGAAATATACCGACTGCTATTCCTTCTTGATAAATTTCCATTTGAAAAATTATTCAATTTAGAAATATACCGATTATAATTATTCAATTATATATACCGATATATACCGATATATACCGATATATACCGATTAAAATTATTCAATTTAGAAATATACCGATTATAATTCCTACTTGATAACTCTCGATTACTCTGCATAATCAGCACTCGTACTAATACAATCTTTCGACATTAATAACGTTACGCAATTTATAGAGATGCTGTTGAACTCTAATACAATATTTTGCTTGAATTTTGAACAAAAAAAAATTTGTGGTGTCGATAAGTACGGCTCATCAATCGTAAGAAAGTTACGTATTGCAATTATCTTCTCTAATTCATAAATCTGTTTAATATTGTTTACTTATATTATAATTAGTGTTGAATATTAAAATATATAATTATACACTAAGAAGAAAATATCTATAAATTAATAAATATTTTTTAGATGGCTACTATTAATAGATTTACTTAAATCAAAATTCTTTTCATTTAAACCGAGTATTGTTTATCCGTTTTATGTAAATATGATAATGGCACTTACTTTAAAAATATTTGTTAATTTTTAAATATTTTTTTCTGTAATAACTAGAAATTCTATTTAATTCAACAAACAGACTTTAACTAAATATGTCATATTAATCCAACCATGCTCTTTTTGCTTTTTTCTTTTACTTCTTCCGTGTGAAGTCGTAATAACTTAGA